ATCTCATCCTTCTATTGGGATCCTCCTCATTTTTTTGTCTACCAAGGCTGGACTCTATAAGAGTGATGAATTCAGGATTTGCTTTCAGATAGTTTGATAGCCGATAAGTGACAGTGTCAGTTCCCTCAAAGGCAGGGGGGAGAAAACAAATTTATCCATTTTAGAAAAATAGCGGGTTATCTCCCTTAGCTACAGGTGGGCACTACATAGTATTGAAGACCAAGATTTGAAGTCTTAGATCTGAGCAGCACTTTCTGGTTAGGAACAAAATCATCAATGAGAAATAATTGTCTAAATAATTTTTATATAGACTTAAGCCTAATGTCTAGGGCCCTCCGTGCACTCTTAACTGAGCAACTCCTATGTCTGGGCAAGTGGGACCCTTGAAACTGTTACCATGCAGCACAGGAGGAAAGCTGGAGTAGAGGTCCTAGGTGCTGGGGGTCCAGGGAGGACTGTGGATAAATCTGCCTCCCCACAGGCATATCCCCCAAAATATGGGAGACTGCCTGGACCAGGGCTGAGAAGGTGGCTGCAAGGCCTGGGCACCAAATCTGGGCCAGATTTGGAAGTGCTGGGCCTTGTCTTTTAGGAACAGTGAGCCTATAAGGAGGTTTTGGGTTGTTTGGTTTAATTGTCACGGAAAAATCAGAGACTAACAGCCAAAGTCAGGTGAGAGAGGAAGTTTAATAATTTTACCTTAGTAGGACTGACCCCCACAGATATAAGGAGTCAGACCCTTGTTCATGTTTGGGGGGCTTTTATGCCCATGTGTGGGGAAATGCAAACAAAAGGAAAAACTGCACATAGGTGACAAGTAAAAGGTACATATGATAATTAAGCAAGTAACACATGGCCACAAAGTTTACAGGAATGCGAAAACTTTGGAAAACAAAGACTACCATCCTGGGCAACCACAGCGAGCAGGATGGGAGACTCCTGCTCACCTCCCCATACCTGTCTCTTAAGAGTTTTCCCCGTTGTAAGGTTCTTAATTACCATCACATTGCAAAAGCTTTCCATTTCCATAATATCAACAGTTGTGATTAAAAAAAAAAATAAAAAACATAAAAAAAAAAACAATTTAAGGTGAGGGTGAGGTGGGTCAGCAAGTAAGAGCACTTTCCCCTAAGCCTGAGGGCCTGAGTTTAGACACATACACACACGTTAGTGTTTGGCTCTGCAGTGACCCCCTCCCCAGTGCAACAGGGCCTCATGGTTTTGCAAGCCCTCTGAAAATACAAGAACTGAGTTAATGAGAAGTCTGACTGCCTGCAGACAAGATAAACAAACTCCCTACACCTATGGCCAAAGATCCAATTGCTGCAAGAGCTGTTTCAGCACAGCCTGCTTCACCTTTGATAATCTTAGAAGACAAACGGGCCCCTGCACCCCAGACCCACTGATGTAGGACCTGTCTCAGTACAAGCTATGTCCCCCTGATAAGTTTCACAATGTATAGACCCCTTATACCATGACCCAGATCCTGGCTCATGTAAGGGGGCAGTTTGACAGAGGCTGTTCCCTCCTGATAAGCCCTGGGCTCTCTCCCCCACCTAACTTGTTTTTTTTTTTTTTAAAAAAAAAGTTTTCCCACCTTCCACATCCTCCAAACCCCCTATAAAAGCCCCCAGACCTGGAAACTGACAGCTCCTCCATCCCAAATTAGGGGACTGTCCCATGCATTTTCTCTGCCAATAAACTCTATCCCACCAAAGTTCTTGTCTGTGTCCTGGTGCTTTCTCCTGATTTGACTCGATTTACCTACACACACACACACACACAAGAAATAAGTAATAAATGTTTAAAAATTTAAAAATTACAGATTTGGGCTTATTTTGGCTCATTGTTGGAGAAGTCCATGGTGACAAGGATGTGGCACAAGGTGGCATCCTGCAGTCAGGAAACAGAGCATTGAATGCCAGAGGTCAGCTTCCTTTCTCCTTTTTATTTAGTCCAGGCCCCATCACATTTAGGATGGGTCTTTCCAACTCAGTTGATCTAATCTAGACGATCTCCCACAGGCTTGTCCCTTAGGTGAGTCTAGATCCTGTCAAGTGAACTGTCACAGCAGATGCTAGCTAATGACCGACAGGGCTTCCATAGCCAGGCAACATCCTGAGTTACCTTCTGCATCTCATAATTTTCCAGCTGTTCAGGAAGGTTGGTACTGTTATCTCCCTTTTGTGGATGAGGGAATAAGGCATATGGCAGTACAGAAACTCGCTCAAGTACAGACAGAGAAGGACTCCAGCCAGGATTCAAACACAGGGCTTCTCATTTCAGAGCACCCAGCCCTGACCAGTAACCCTATTGTTTCTGATAGCAATCATCTGCAGCCCTTAATACAGCATCACTGCCTTATGATTTGATCCCATGTGTTGTCACAGTTAGAGAGATGCAAGTCCATTAAGTAGTAAAATTGTTCTGTTTGTGGGACTCGTGCTAAATGAGTAGATTTAAGCTGTGATTGACAGGCACACACGCAAATGGGTAACAGTGAAATAATGGACATATTAGTTTTACTATGATAGCCTTTCATTATCTAAATGTATTCTATAACACTGTTGTCTGCCTTAAATATACAAATTTCAATTTATTTTTTAAAATTAAAAGTTGTATAAGTCCAGCCAGGAAAACAAACACTTAAAAAAATAACTCGTATCTCTTTCAAATTATCAAGAAGGGCCAGGCGTGGTGGTGCACGCCTTTAGTCCCAGCACTCAGGAGGCAGAGGCAGGCGGATCTCCATAGTGAGTTCCAGGTTAGCTGGGGCTGCAGGGAGACCCTGTCTCAAAAAGACAAGAAAAGAAATTATCAAGAAGGTACTGTAGGACACACAGTATACAAGCTTCCTAAAATTCCTTCTCCTTGACCTCTTACCAGTTTATGTTTGCCTCACAGTCTGCTCAACTCCCTCAAAGCTAGACATACCTCTCTATGTTCTCATTCACCCAAGCTTTTTTTAAGTCTATTTTTGGTGCCAATAGAGCTTCTTTAAAAATTTTTTTATTTGTATTTTATGTGTATGAGTGCTTGCCTGCATACATGGAGGTGCATCACATCCATGCAGTACCTTCAGAGGCCAGAGGAGGGCATCAGATCTCCTGGAACTGGAGTAACAATTGTTAGCTGCCTTGTGGGTGCTGGGATCCGAACCTGAGTCCTCTTCAAGAGTAGTGCTCTTAACTGCTGAGCCATCTCTCCAGCCCAAGAACTATACTTTTTCTCAGACTACTGCTTACATGATAGTGTTTCTTTAATGCTCTTAGAGGAAAAAACTAAGGGGGAAATTAAAAGTTGCAAACCCAATGTTGAAGTTCAATTTGAAAAAAAAAAACAAAAAACCACTCCTAGTCTATGATAATTGAAAGCCTGAGAACCTCTGAAGTGGGGAAAGATGAAGGCAAAATATTCTCAAGAC